CTATCGGATCATCTTTAAATGAACTTTGTCGTATGTATGATCGGACAAGAGTCTGCTGAGCATCTTAATCTTTCATGTGGTAAAGTTAGCATTACAATGGGTCTTAAGAGGCATAAAAGGGTGGATCTTCATTTGATCTTTATCAGATGATCAGATGACGATCTTCTCTTAATCTTGCCATTTCACAATATTTGCCTATCTCGTCCATCTACTACTATCATATTAAGAATTAGAGGAGGAACACTTGATTGAGAGAATATTTGCATCAAGCCGAGCTTTACGAGAATAAAGATCAGCTTTTTCATTTAGATGAAAGTCAATAATTAAAAAATAAAATTTCTGTTTAATCTGTGTGGACTTCATTCATCACTTGATCTTTCAACATTATATTCACTTTATTGTTATTATTATTGAGATTATTGACAAGAATGTCTTGAAAATTGAGTTATCTACTAGAACTTTATAAGTGACTGGCAAATTGAGATTGTGTGTGACTGTGCTTTTGCGCTTTTCGAGTATTTTCTCAGTCTCGATGCAAAAATTTTGAAATTTTGGAAAATTGAAAAATTGGCTTGGGGAAAAAGTATTAAGAGACATTTGTAAATCTTTGCTGCAAACGATTTAGCGTACAATCGATTCGATGATTTAGAAAATCAAAGTTCGCAAGAATTTAAAGCACATGCTTTAAAACTAAAACAGCAGGAGAGCGAATGCAAAAAGAAAAAAATTTATATTCGCTTCCTTACCATATATTTCATACAAATTATAATAGTTTTGTCCTGTAGTTTCGTCTTCACTTCAATTGTATGAACATATGCGACATTGTCTGCTGTGCGATCGGTTGACACAGAAGATTGTATGACGCTCACTAACTGACGACAAAAAACAAAAAAGAAGAAAAGAAAACTAGTAACACTATACAAACGGCGTATAGGAAACAAAGTTTTTCTGAAGTGATAAACAAAAAAAAAAAAAGAAAAAGAAAAGAGAAAAAATAAATTGGACAACTTGGGTATAAAAGGAAAACGAGATTCATTTGCTTACCTCAATATACCATAGCGTGAAACTGAATCGGCCTTCATCGTGTCAATACACTATGCTTTCTTTTTCGTTTCATTTAGTCTTCTACGGTTAGTATTCCATAAATTATAAGCGCGTTTTATAAGCGATACTCTTAGCAATTGTGAAATGTGCTAACAACTGTGTTGTTCGTTCGAAGGTTTACATAACGCAATGTTTTCGGCTTGTAAATCGACAATGATTACCGTTGCATGTGTAAGCCATAAAATTGGTTGCAATGTATGCCTGATGGATATTTAAGGTAATTGAAGGAATCGAAGAAAACAAAAAAAAAAAAAAAGAATCCACTAACTAAGGGTATAGCGAACGACGGTAGTACAATGTCATGTTTCGAGTGTTCGAATTGAATTGAAATGCATTCAAGCACACACTTTTTAGACATTAGTTTTTCACATTTATTATATTCCGCGTAAAAGAATAACGAAATTGTTTGCATTTTTTTTTTTTTTTTTTTTTGTTACAACGAAAACAGCAGGAGTGTTATAACAAAGGGAGGAAATTTCATAACTTTTAGTATAAATAAATATTTAATTGTCGACAATCTTCCTTTCTATTTCTTTTTCTTTTAACAAAATTTTGGTTTTTGCCAGATATCTGCATGTAGCCGTATAGTTGATAGCACAAGTGCTAGACAAAGATAAGCTATAAGCTTAGATGTTACAAGGTCACCTGAGATCTACACTGAGTTAGTCAAGAGATGCTGTTTCAGAAGCAAATTTATTTAAAACGCGAATTTCACGGTTCAATCTTAACCATGACTAGTAGAAACTATCTTTAAGAAGATATATTTTGTCACTAGCGATCTCATTCAATGTTTTTTTTTTTTTTTTTTTTTTTTTTTTTTTTTTTTTTTTTGGTGCAAAATATATAAGAAACTTTACAATTTGTTTGGTTACCGGCCGAGTCATTGCTAAAAGTTTTCAAAATTGCTTTCCGGAATTTATTAATGGGTTGAACGTGGTTAGCTTGAGACTGCTTGTAATACGTATAGTACGTCTGTAGATAGGAATGAGCGCCAAGAAGATAAGTTGGCACGTTTACGTTACCGGTAGTTTTTTTGGTACCTATTATAAGCAATTGCAGAAGGCTTCGCCTAGAAATCAAAATGTAGCCTTCACATCAACGTAAGGCAAGGAATAAGAAAAGGATTCATTGTGAGATAGAGGTAAACTATAGTTAAGATTGTCGAATAGACAGTATGATAGATTGTAGGGAGCTTTAATTAGGCCGGCAAGAGGAGAGCGTAATGTGGTTTTCTTCCAGGATAATGAATCAGATTTTTAATATTTTTTCAAAGTTTTCCCTTTCTTCACCTTCCGATCTTTACTTTCAAAAGTCGCTACTTACCTCGTAATATTTTTTTTCTTATTTATTACAAGTAAGCGATTGCAAACACTTCTTTTGGTATTGCTGTTATTGAACGGGAATATTTAATTTCCTCGTTTAACCAATGTACCTTAAGAAGTTGAAACAATGCAATCTTAAGAGAAGGAAACGTAAATCTTTGAAACAAAATTGCTTAACGATTGATATAAGAACTACACTTGAGTTTACAATAACATCGACCCTTAATTTAGTCGATTTTAAAGTCAATCTAATGCAACTCAAATGTAAGCAAATAACAAAGGTAAGTTTATTACTTTAAACATAGATTCGAGGCGAACAAGTGATCGATCAAGCCATCTCAACTTATTAAATTATTTACGCAATTTACAACTCAGTATACATATATATGTATATCATAATAGTTCATTAGACTAAATTGTAACAAGTGAACACATTATTGTGTGTTACATTAAATACGTTATACCACTTTGCCTAATACAGTGCAATATAAATATGTATCAAAAATTGCACCTACTTTCCCTGTGAAGAGCCCTTACTTAAGCCGACGTGGAGTACATTTGATAAAATTAATATTTCCTTGTTCAAGATTTTATTATCCCTCATCTCATTTTATCACAAAATACTACAAACGAGAATAACTTCCTTTTCTTGAATCACTTCTCAAGTGGACTTGAAAACAGAATTCAAAATATTGATATAATTAATTTTTATGTCAAAGTGCTCCCTTATCGAGCGATTTCCAAACGAAAGTGTTAAAGATTTTGCCTATTCGCCATATAAGCTCCTACTTAGGAGACCCCCTCAACAGATCTGCTACAAATTTCGCAAATCCGCTTTCGATGCCGATATACTATGAATCAGCGATTATTGTTGTGAGAAAATTTCAACAACAGACATAGTGTTTTCATGTGAACGTACGTTAAATGGGGAGTGGTCATCAAAATGATCGTATCGAATTCATTCTCAATAGGGTTTAGCCGCTTTAATGGTATGCGGTATAAACGCAGAAAAACATCATTTTTAGGATTTGCTTTGCAAACATTAAACAAAATTAATCTAAACCATATGGCGCGCAAAATTAAGACCATATAGGAAAAAAAATTTCCCTTCTTTTCACAAAGGCATTAAAATGTTTCACGTTAAAAGGAAGCGCAGGTAACCGATTGTGGCGGGTTTTCCCTTCTTCAGGTCCGGTAAAAAATAACATAATAACAGCTTTTGCCAATTAATGCGTTCAAATTTTTCGCGCACACTCAAACACACTCAAGAAATATTCTCCACTGTTGGATTCAATTTGCAAATTTTATTGTATAGCCAATCACTCAAGGCATACCTCCTGTTCGTAAGAAGGAAATTAAAAGGTGGCCGCAGTTTAAATTTGATTAAATTATTTTCAAGGTGAATGTGAATGATCCAAACTTTCTCTGTTCAGTTCGATTGAATCACAAGCAAACTAGTTCAGCTGCCTACAACGTAACACTTTGTCGAACATATACATTTATAAAAATTTAGATCTTCGAGGGCTAAGATCAAACAGCTTTTAAACAGATTGGAAAATAAGTTACCCGTAACTCGCAGTCGATATTAATATGAAACTTGGCGTGTATTTCCGCGTATAAATTCCCCCTAAGTTCAAGGCAAAAAATATCCTTACCCAGGCTATTAAGATGGTTGTAAATGATATTTTTATACATTTTCTTAGCCAACTAAGTACATAAGATATGATATCAGGCGATGTCTAACGTTTTCCGCGAAATTCCTTTAGACATATAATTTTTACCTGCATTCCGAGTTTTCACATAAAATTTCGCTTAGATCGCAACTAAAAACACTTATTCCCTTTCGTCTTAAAATCAATCCCAAGTGTTGGGAAATTTTCATAAGTAAATATTTGTGTAAATATGTAAAGGAGAAAATGTTAGTTTAAAACTCACATATTGTAAAGATTCCAATGCAAACGGACAATCCGACAACTAATTTCACACTGTTTTTGTGAATGACAACTGTCAGCAAAAGTATTTATTTAAAAGCCCAAGACAATCTATCTACGATGTATCCGGTATTTAAGAGACAACAATTTCTGTTTTTGTTAAAGCAATGACAAAAAAAATCACATCTTGGTGTGAATACGCAACTAAGCCAACAAACATCTAAAAATTCCTTTGTTGGCTAACGGGGGAATAATTTATAACAAAAAACAAAAAAAAAAAATAAATAAATAAAAAAAAGATGGAAAACCCAACAAGTAAGAAAATTATATTCGGTCGTAACAGAATCTTTTGTACCCAACATTGTTATCCTAAAAAAAAAACAAAACGAAGTACATTTTCATATGCTTTATGATATGGATATGGGTGAGGTTGGGTTTTTCTATTTTCAATAAATAAAAGTTTTTCGTCAAAGTCGCAAACGGCGCCTGTGGGTTTAAGTTGATTTTCGCTAACCGAAGAATGATGACCACAGATACACTACATAGACGGGGACAGCTGGACAGACGCATATGCTTAGATGCATTCCAAATTTGAAACCGGCCAAGAACTTATATACTTTGAGGCGGTTTGGAAGCTTGTTTCTGCGCGTTACAAAGGCATTGAAAAATAAATATTATATTGGGTAGGCGTGGTCAAATTCTTCGATTTTTCTACAGGCATTATAGCATCACCCATAGAATATGCGTTAAAAATGTTGTTTATGTTTCTCTGCCTTACTTTATGCGTAATGAGAACAAAAATCAATTTCTTGTTCCTTTTGAAAAACAAAGGTATTCCCAGTATACGTAGCGTAGTAGGCATGTCCTTTGACCGATTTGGCTCATTTTCAATACCATACTGCGTGCAAGAATTTCTATTATTTTTATTTTTTGCTAAATTTGAAGGCGATAGTTTCCATTTTGCGGCGAGGAGAATGTCTACAATAGGCTTTATACAGAGAGAGACATGCTATCGATCGAATCGCTTTAGAATGTGATGCTGATCAAGAATATACATATGCTTTGCGGGGTCGCTAAAGCTAACGTCTGGATGTTGCAAACGTTTCATCCTTCGATGATGAGTATAAAGAGAATGAGTACAACAACAAACCTAACACACAGCGGCATTATCAACTATTTAGCATAAACTAAAAGTTTTTTTGCGGTCGAGCACTTTGCATTGCCACTACTTGTTTCGCTATTTGAGAAATCAAATTTCAAGAATTTTTCCAACTTTTCTCATAATTCAACATTTTTCGAAATTGTTAATCATTTGGATTAACAATTATACGCATATATTGGAAGTCAATAAATCGTTCTTTTTCGGAATTTTTAAGAAGCTTGGCACGGTTTGCCCGATTTTCACTTTGATTTATTACTTTTGTATACAAATTAATATTAATGCGCTGTATGTTATTAATGAGGAAATTTTCACTTATTAGCTAATACAAGCATGTCGCGAGACAACATCAGACAAATTGCCTAAGACACGAAATTCTTGTTACTTTTGTCGGCGAAGAATACTTGTAATATTTGGAATGCAGTTACATAAATTGGACCACAACGAAGTCTTTCAACTTCGATACAATCGATAATGCCGAATAAATTTCGAGGATATCCCATCAGTCTGTCTATCAGTCATAGTTTATTATCTGGCTAGTGTTTCTAATAAAGACAATGTCATCATATTTAC